ACTACATTTTGCAATTTGGAACTATAAATTCTAGCCCGGTTTAAAAATAACGTATGTGCCAGTAGTTTCCCTAAGCACATAAGTGTTTTTCCAGAAGAGGCAGAATTTACAGTTCCAAATTGCAAAATGCAGTCCAAATATTCCACAACATTTTCATTAAAGAGAACCTTTAATATGAGTATCATTGTACGACTGAGAGGGTGAATATTCAGCTCTGGCTGATACATTGGAATACAAAGCAAAGGTCACGCCGAGGGATCCATATTCCATATCGATTTGAGTTTTGTTATACTTCGTCAGTTGGCCAGCTTAAGAGCCATAAATTGGGCTTCTCAATAATCTGTGAATTTGCCTTCTGTTATCGCGCTAGGGTCCACAAAACCTGTACCGAAACTTACGTATATCTGTCCTTGGGCATTAATGATCATCACTTATACCAAGCATCAAAGTGAAAAACTGCTTTCTTCGCGAATCAAGTTGGGCGCATAGGGGTTTTGGCTTTGGCCCATTTTGCCCGCCGCCGGATGCCAGGCTTTTCAAAATTTTTAGAATTTGTTGCAGTCTTGCCTGTCAATTTAGCATACTTGTCATATACATACAAAATACTGCTATATATTTTTGAGGAATCAGCCAGTGATTTTATAAGCAAAAATTAACAGCCAAACAATAGCCAAAAAATATCTGCATATTAATCGACAGCCAAAACAAATCTTCGATTCATATAACAGACTATGGCAAATTCTCAAGAAACATACTTTGCGGAAACGAAAAATACAAAAATTGCTTGTAAGTGATCCTCAGACACCGCTAATAATAATTTTTCTCCATGAAACCATCTTCCCGAAAATTACTTATCATCAGTCATCGATTCAGCGGGTAATACCATGAGATTTTACACAACATGTGAATGAGATTCACCATACTTCCACGTGATGTAATTTAATAAAATGAGTCACGCACCGCGCCCCCTCCACTCCCTGAGAAGTTGACAAAATTATTAAAATGAAATAAACTGTCTTTATAATAACCAAGATCTGTCGCAAATGATTATTAGTAAAATATTTCTTTAAACTTAGATAACTGAATTTTAGATCTCTCGATCATGCAATGCAAAATCCGTCGCTCTGTCGCAGGCCCCTTGACTTGACCAACCAAGGCGCCAAATTGAGCTCAGAGATTGAACATACTATAAAATCGAGGATGGTCCACAAGCGCGTCGTCAATTAGAGGAGAGGCAGGACTTCATACTGCTTCGCGGCCGTCATTTCATCAAGATCGACAGAAACACGGAAAGGAAAAGTTAAAAGTGAGAGAGGAATGTATGCGGGATCGGTGCCACGGGCCACGGAGAAAGGGTCGCGACAAAGATCATTTGACTCAATTGCCCACCGCGCGTACGGGTTTTCCAGGGTGGCGTCTGACCAGATTTCGGCCGTGTCTAGCTCTCGTTCAGCAATCGAGGGCTGGTGGCTGTTCGCCTGGAATTAAAAGGCCAAACTGGCCGGTTGAATGCGGAATTAAATGCACAAACTGACACATGAGCAGCCGGCCACTGTCATTTGTTGAAGGGATGCATATCGTCACCTACCTGACATATGGGCGTAATTACACTCTACAATGAACCCTGTCTTCCATACATTTCAAAGTTTTTTCGGGCTCATTTCAATGTGCAGTTACGCCCCTATGTTCGCCAAGCGATGCATCGTCTATGCATAGCCAAATCATGCATTTTAATCCAAATTTGAACTGCCATTTTAGCTGTCGGGGAATATGCCTAAAAATCTTTCTGCCGCAGAAAATATGCTGCCTCCTCAAGCTCTTGAGCTATAATATAGAGTAAAATAACAAGAAAAAAATATTTGAATAATTGTGCGATCCAGTACCGGCAAAAAGTTTAAATTAAGCATAAACAGAAAATATGAACAGAAAAAGCTCTCGAAAAAAAGAGTTGCCTCAAATTATTGTTTAAAAAAACTGTCGAAAAAGAGGAAAATCCACGAACTTGTGTCATGTGCTGACATGGATTCTAATTCCTAATAGGCAGCTCACGTTGAACTCGATGGTTTAAGAAAAATCAACCAAGGACTGGCTGTGCGATCAACCACAAATTTTGTATATTTTAGTCGTTTGCCAGACATAAATTAAGTTAAGATTGGTTATTGTTCTGTGTTCACCTGCTCAGAGATTACATATCGATGCCTAAAGTGCGAGACCGCATATATCTGTTTGCGAGATTCTAGACTCTCAGTCATACATTATTTTTTTCTTGTATTCAGGGGGCATACGTAATCCCGTGTGCAGATTCGTGAAGGCATATTGTGTGATACATCAATCTCTTCGTTTTGATGTCTAGAAAAAGAAAATCGATGATGGCCATCTCAAATTTCATACAAACCCCCCCAAATTCAAGATGGCGGCCAAAATGGCGGTTTTGGGGTAAAAAAATTTAAAGTTTGCAAATACGTCGTGTCGAGTGTCGTTTCTTAAGTATTTTTGATCGTAGAATCCGAATTTTCAGTCAAAAGTTAGCCCAAAGGTCATTTTTAGGCCAAAATCCAAGATGGCGTCCAAAAATACCTCTTACGGGTACTAATTTGCCTACTCGGGTCTACATGCATTGTGAGGTATCAATTATTAGGTTTTCAGGGTCGTAGAGTCCGAAAATGAGGTCCATTTTCCGCTGCGGCTCTCAAGAAGCCCTAAAATCAAAGATGGCGCCAAAAATGGCCGCCGGTCTTGAGGATGAAACTGCCATTTAAGGCAGCTTTGACAAACAATACGTTGAAAATTAAGTTTCTTGGGTCAAGAAGTTCGAGTAGGAGATCAGATGTTTACTCCTACAAAAAATTAAGCCTCCGAATCGAAAATCGCTGCCGACATTGTTGCCAGTTAAAGGCGCAGACCGGTAAATGACTGATATTAAGAGATTTGCCGAAGGAGGGGTTTCGATAAGGGTCGTTGTTGGGCCCATACCCTGAAATTCTTCAATTCTACGATTGTTTGCTCATTTAAAGTCTAAATTTTGCGGGATGGATCATGATTTGGTCATTTTTGGTCTATTTAGGGGTCTAATACTGGCCAAAACAAGAGACCACAGGCCGATTTTGGCAAAAAATGCGGGTTTTTTGGCTTTCGACGCGCAGTTTCATAACGATCCCATCATTGGAAGAGCAAACTTTCCTTCAAGTACGTTCACTAAGGATGTAAGATAGTCACTTTTGCCAATTCTCGTTGACGGCAAACCTTGCGCTCACAGTCAAAACGATATTCTTAGAATTTTCTTGTTTTACATCATTATTTAAAATGGCATAAAAAGGGCGACTCATCTTAAACCAGAAATAGATTACTTGGCCGAAAATGTACGCAGCTGCTCAAAACCTTCCTCCAAAAAGTTTATGGATTGAAGCCTCCCCCCCCCCCAGAAAAAAAAACCTGTGTTGCCACATTTTATTGCTTAACATCACAGAAAACCGCGTAATTATTTCAGTATTCGGAGGCTGTTCTTCGTCGAGCACATTCAGCAAAGTTCAAAACCCTCGATTTTTCATACGTTACGATCACATGATTAGCGATTATATAAATGCAATTGTCCATCATTATTTTGTTTATTACATGTATGTATCTATAGAGACTCCCATCGTGGCGCGGCATTCCCACATATCATCGATAAAAATCGAGAAAAATGCAACATTGAACGAAAATGCGACTTCTACTATCATCGCGCAGAGAATGTTGAGCTTATGCAAAACTAAAAATTCATTGCAAGAAAAAGTGTAATATTGGTTAAAAGGCAAAACGACATAGAACATGGTCATATCCGGGAGGTATTACCTGTGCAAAGTGGGCGATAGAGTCGTCGACTGCTGAGCTCATATTGCATCTCTCATTTGGTGCCTCACTCTGCCGTGATAGCGAAGAGAGCAGTAAGTGCAAAAATGAAGTTTTGAGAAAACAGGCTCAGAAGCTTCTTACCGGAAAATTTTATTGAAGGAAGCCTCCGTTCGTTTTCATACTGCCACTAAAAATGTCCGAAAGACTCCTAGAAATCGGGTTGGATGATTAAAAATCGACTGATTTTATTTCAATTTCATAAGAGAGGCATTTACATTTTCATGCTAGGTTATTGTTAAGCAATACAAAGGTAAGTGCTATCTTCTGCAGGCTTTCATGGTTGCGTTTTGGATACACAACAAACTCATTTTCAAGTTAGAAATTGTCAGAAGAGGGCGGCGCTTTACTTGAAAGCACTGTTTTCAATGGCTCTCTGGAGAAACAGTGTCACTTACTGCTGTCTTGCCTTTCTGCGCAATTGTTCGGCGTTAAGTTGCTCAAAATTCAAGAATTATTATACCAATAGAAAGCTGAGAGTGTGGTCATTCTAACGGTGTACATATTATTTTATTTCTTAATTTCAAAAATAGCAGAGATACATTCAAGGGAACCGGCCGTCCGAGTTGGCGGAAAATACCTTAAAATGATTGCAGTAAAATTCAGTTTATAGGCGGCCAGTTGCTCCAAATTACAAAAACTATAGACCATTAGAAAGCTGAAAGCAACAGCTTTTTAACGGTATAATTGAAATTTAGTTTGCGAGAGGATTTGTCCCTGAAAAAAATGGATATCTCTTCGATTTCGTGACTTTTTTTTAGAAAAAAACCTAAAAGTCTATTTATTTTTCGAGGAGCTCAAACAACCCATTCCGATTTTTGGCGAAAATCATAGTATTTTTACCCTACTTGAAGATGCCGAAGAGATCGGAGACGACTAGTCACTTTTCATATAACTTCCCTTCAACGGAGCCGTGCACGGCAAAGCTTTCAAAATCCCACCTGGCTGCACGAACAATAAAATAGGGGACAAAAAAGGGTCACAGTTGTGAAAGTTTTGGATTAAAAACGGTTCATTGAGTGGAGGAAGGCCAGTTTGAAAATGTGTAGGCTTAAGACCTTCTGCACCCTGGAGCTTACAAAAAATTGACTGATGTTACTGAAAATACTTACGTAGAAATTGAATTTCTTTCTTAATTTTTGTGACATCTTCATAGAGCTCACACTTCTCAGTGACTTCTTGCTCGTACAGCTCCTTAAGTTTCTTCAGTTTAAGATCTTTGATCGAAATGAGTTGTTTGAAATAACCTGGTGACTAATAAACATTAATAACAAAAAAGTTTGAATAAATTGGATGAATTAGTAAAGAAAAAGGAATGTGCAAATGTAAATTGGTCAATTGGACATTGAAAGGAAGTTATGGTAAGAGACTCCACATTGTCAAGATTTATTTTTGATACGGACATTGTAAATGTAAATAGCGGTGGTTAGACTAAGGCCTTAAGTAAGATAGGAATGTAGTGGTTAATAAATAGAGAACATACCTAATTAACTTGGATTTAAGGTATGTCTTCTACTTATTAGCCACCACATTTCTATCTTACCTATGGCCTTGGTCAAACTACCATTACTTAGACTCCACATAGCTTGTATGTTCTGTTAGTCCTTATTACTGTAATTTGAGGAGTTGTGAAATATTTACAACAGAATGTGTGGTAAGGATCGTGAACCCTATTTTATTGTGGCTTGGAAAATTATTTTCAGCTGATGAGTCACTTTTGTTGGATGGCATAGATTTGATCAATTTCTTTTTCAGTTTACAGACTTTACATTTTTATCAAGAAATCGGTTTTCGTGGATTAAAGGAAGATTGAAATTGTAGATATATAATTTTTTATACAGAAAAAATAGATAAAATCGATAGATGGAAGAGGGAGAAAACTAGAAATTTCAAGTAAGATCTTTCAATGTTCACATGAAGTATGAGTAAGTACTTACTGACCAAAAAATAAGTTTTCCTACTTAGCAACTTTTAAATTAAAGGAGATGATTCAAATTGAAAAAAGTTTACCTTTGTTAGTTTGATGCCTAGGCGCAACTTTTCCCCCTACACATTTTTGAAATTCGAAAGTCGATGTTTTTTGACTCGCCCTAGTGGGGGTGTCTGGCTTTGGATGCTGGTGGGTGAGGGAAGGGAGGGAGGGGTCAAGTCAAGGATGACATAAGTTTTCTGGAAGGCAAAAATAGTATGGGGGGTACACAAAAAACCCTGCACTTTTTGATTGGAAATTGCCGCTTTCAGGGATCATTCTTATGGTCATAAGAAGCCCTTTTAGAAGGGGAACCACTCTGGGATCCGTGCAGGAACCAAGATGGCGACCGTTAAAGATGGCCGCCAAGCGTTTTTTCAGCGCGCTATATCTCAGAAACTACGTGTCCGATTTTCGTATTCTTGGTCTCGTTTAGAAGCTAAATTGCTTCTACAGAAGTTTACCTCATGATTTTTTTCGCCTAAGGCACATATGAATGGTCCTAAGGAAAATTTTGAAATTTCACCCCTAACCCCCAAACCCCCCTGCTTGGGTGACGAAATTAATGTACGGCCCCTGAANGGGGGGGGGGGGGGGGGGGGGGTGGTATTAGTAAGGGAGAAATGACCTCTTAAAAAGTAATCCCCCTACATGTAGAAACCAATTGTTCAAAATTGAATATTTCAACAAAGATTTAAAAAAGTTACAATGGGTCAAGCACTAATTATGCCCAGTCAGCGGGCCGATTATTGAAATTTTGTGTTTGCCGGGCGGACATAGGTTAAACGGTGGATCATGATTAATCGGCTATGTCTTATCGCTGCTTTGTCGTGCCTTTGTCAGGTGGAATTCACGACAAGCTAAAGGCACCTCCTAAGTTCCCAACAGTATGTCGTCAATTGCACCTGACAAAGGCACGACAAAGCAGCGATAAGACATAGCCGACCAATCATGATCCACTGTTTAACCTATGTCCGCCCGACAAACACAACATTTCAATAATCCGCCCGCTGGTGCAGTATTCTGATTGGGCCGAAACAGCATGTCCATTTTTCCACATAATGTTCCATTGCGGCCCTCCTTCAAGAAGATACTAAGATATCTCACCTCGGTGGCTGATGTGGGAGTGTTGAAATATAGAGAGGATACTGGCGAGGATGCTGCAAAAAAAATTGAAATATATACTTTAAATTATTAACGAAAAGAATGGGTTTCTTGGTGAATATTTCAGATAAGTGAGAAGGGGCACAGAGAATGGCGGAGCCCACAAGCTGAGGCTTGTACGTGGCATGGGGAAACCCTTGAAAATTTTGTTGAAAAACAATCTCTTGTCCTTCTCTCTTAGATGGAAAATTGGGCAAAAACAGAGGAGGCAAACTGTTCATTTTAATTTTCAGGCTCAACACACATTTTTGCTTTATTTAAGGATTAAAAAAAAAGAACGTTTTGAGGTTGGGATTATGACCGATTTTTTGCAAATATGTTTGGGTACCACAGTAACATATTAGTCAGAATATCTCAATTCTTTATATACATTTGATAATTTTATTTCTTGTAGAATCTTGAAGATTAGTACTAGACTTTCCCACCACTTTTTGGTTAGAAGGCTTGTGTACCAGGCTCCAGCAGGCATAGATTTCAGCATCAGCTCAAATAATATCTTTGAAAATTTAAGTTGCCAGGTTGGTGATCTTGAAACTCCAGTTGGATATTGTTTTTTTTACCACGGTGTGAGGACCTTAATTTTGGTGCACTGTTAAACCAAAGTGTTGGGAACCATTTGCAAATGGAATTACCGATGATTAATGGCTCACATATGAATGCCAAACACCCGATGATCTCCAGAGATTATTTGGGCCGTGTAGTTGCATTTATGAAATACAGGAACCCAGCAGAGTTGCATTAGTTTGGTTCAACAACGCAACATTGAGTCCTCCAGAAATAAACAAATGTCATTAAGTATATAAAACAAATTTTGCTTGGTAAGAGATAGGCTTGTTGCTTAAGGTGAATCCAGGGTTCCATTAGGGATAGTTCAAGATTAGAGATAGCGCCACCAGTCACCACTGAGAATTTCACTTTCCTTCGACGATTACTGAAATAATATTCTTCAAATTACAAAAAGCAGATCCACAAGATATAGAAAATTTTTTGCTTGATTTTTTGAGCCAAAAATATTGGCAATTAGAATTACAAGCGCAGAGGCGCTTGTAATTCTTTCAGCTCAGCGGCGGCGGCTGAGCGCGCAACCGCATCCCTCATGTTCTGTCTCTCTCTCTCCCATTGCCGCAATGGGAATTACTTTCCGCCATAGTTCCGACTTTATATTTAGGAATTTTGAGAACATTTTTTTACTGAGTGTTCCTCAAGTATGTAGCTATATCCCCTGGATCCCCGATCTTGAAAAAGTATTACGGTTTTTATTATTTTGGCAAAGATCTACGGCTATTCTGAGCAGCGCGATGTGGTGGCCAGATCGGGAAGTTCCAAGCCTGGATTCACCATTACTATCTAGAGACTTGAAATAGAGAAGAAACATACATCATCTATCTACTATAAGAAAAATTGCCCCTAAAAGCCCGAAATTGGAGCAACTGAGACAATACTTCAGCTCATGCATTCAATTACAAGGACTCATCAAATGAGAGATTTTGCATCAAATCTTCTTGCGCTTTACTTAAGGCCTCATCTCTACTTGCGGCATGTTTCATGTGAGTCATCCTAAGTTCGAAGCCCAGAAATGAAACTTCTAGGTTTTTATACCGTTTATCAGAGCAACAAAATTACTTACTTCTCCTCTCTGAGTAGTCCTTAGGACTCTATGAGGAATCTACTTGGCACTATTATTAGTATTGATTAACCAAACATTTTTCTGAACTTCGCAGGTGAGATTTCTCCCTTGGACAAATTCCATAAAACATCCCGTGAAGACAAGGTCTAAAGGTTTTGGGAGGAGATAAGACAGCTGAGGCACACTTCTACGCTGATTTGTCTTCCTCCTCCCTGAAGTATGAATGGCCAAACTCAACTTTAGCAATATTTTTATGAAAAATCAATGATTTTTTGGGTACATTGAAGGAGAAATCTCAAAGACGGTTGAGGGCAAAGGTGTAGAACACTGCTCAGTTATTTACTTCAGCGTTGTCGAAAATGCCGTCAGTTTTTTTAATAGCCTCCAGTTGAGAACAACTGAGTGCTGATTGATTAACGGTCAACTCCCTACGTCCTGCAGATTGCTCAGAATCAGGAGTGTAAATAAACATGCCTCTACACATTTGACATGGTTCCTCATTTAGGCGCTGTTGTTCTGCAAGTAAAAGGAGTACGACGTAGTCGCAATTAGTGACACAGGCTATATTTGGTGAGATGGAGGATCTTCCTAGTTTAAATATGTCTCTTTTTGTTATATTGTTTTGTAATAATAATTAAATAAATAGATGATATATAACTTATACTCACTCATCATGCGATGGGGTGCAAAAATCTTAAGCAGGATGATAAACGATTTTTAAGAAGCTTGCGATGTAAAAAATTTAGTTAACAAACATCAGAAAAATTTCAGAGGTCTTATTCATTCTTAAACAGAAAAATGGCATGTTGAGGCGTGTGTCCAAACAGTCAAAAGCATTAATCCAGATATTAATAGTCAACGAAATTTGAACGTACGGCTTGCCTAGAGGCGAGGAGGGCCGTACCGTCATAGAATAAATAGACGTTAGTCTCTTTATTCTATGGTACCGTAACATGCAAGGCCGTAACTGTAACCGTCACTCTAGACTCTACTCTGCTGTTCACCCTAGAGTAGAGAGAGTATGGCCACTGGTGTTACCACCTAGTGGCTCAGCCATCTTATGGTTTTTGCTTCCTGCTGAGATGCGGCAAACGACAAGCAACGTACACCACGGAGTGTCACCTCTCAACTCAAGGTACACTTAAGGCCTCTATAGACGATCAAATTCCCGAACCAATTCCGATCAAAGTAGCATCAAAGTGTCGGGAGTCATCAGTCTGAAATTCATAAATTTGCTTAATTTTAAAATGAAAACTTGACAGAAACGTTGCCTGTGGCAGGAAATGATGAATGATGGCACTCCTGTCTGATCTCACTTTGATCAAAAAAGTGCGGCCCGTCAAAATTTGATGGTAGATGGTGACCACCAGTCATCAGCATGTCTACTTTGATCGGAATTGGTTCGGAATTTGATCGTAGAGTACCTGTATATAGGGAGAGCAGCGACAGATCTGAAACTCCGAAAGTCCATCAGGCCTTCACCGATGCCTCCGCGAATAAAGTTAGGGCCCAAAAGAGCAGCCAACCTATGAATTTCCAATGTCCAGAGCGATTTACAAATACAATTGTTACGAACCGTCGTTTAGAAAGCATGTATTTGGTTTACTTTTTGCATAAATTTACTTATTTTTGCGAAAGAACGCTCATTTATGTACATTCTTAGCCATATTGGTTAGAATTGAAATCCGTAGGCTGGCAGTGAAATTTTGTGTGTTAGAAGTTGCTCAGAAGGGTGGCTGCACTTTTGGGCCCTAAGCCCTCCATGAACCGATCTGTCGTAGAGTCCCTTTATACCCAGAGTTACGACAACTCACTTTTGGTTGGACCAGGATTGGGCTGAAAGTGGCCTAAAAAAAAATCCAATTCTGATTGGTTCTCGCTCATGGAGGCCGAAACTAGTGCACCAAGATGGCGGTACCTCGTATGTGAACAAGAATAATGAAAATATTACCTAATTGTGGTTTATCAAGAGTAAATTGTTATTGCCATCGGTCCAAAATGAAAATAGATTAAGAAATTATTCACAAACCAATCTCATTTTCTTTTTAATTGATCAATTTGTTGATGTTGTTGTTTCTGTGTGACAGACATCGCAGGATTCCTGATCCTTATCCCCCAATATCGTTCGTTTGAGTGCACTAGTTTCGGCCTCCATGGCCAGCCAAGGTCGGCTGCCAGTCAGCTGATAATCGAGTTGTCGTTACTCTGGGTATAAAGGGACTCTAATCTGTCGCTACTCTCCCTATACAGGTACTCTAGGTACACTCTACTAAAGGTAGGGACAAACCATTGACGTATAATACAATCTAGACCGCGCATTGGGCCCGACTTTAGGCGGGGAAAGTAAGACAGCTAGGGGGGTAAAGACGCGCCTTCAGCCTAGTTGATACCGCCGGATATACGAGCTAAGTGTACCCGTATCAGGCAACGGCACTGGCAAGACTGACATTTCCAGGAATTCCACCATTGTCTCGCCGGTACACTTACTGTGTGTTGCTGGGTTGCCTATCGTCTCGTTTGAATTTCGTAATGCGCGGTCTAGATTGTATTATACGTCAATGGGACAAACGGGGTGCCGAAGTGGCAGCGCTGAGAAAATCGGCGATCGAGTGACGTATGAAGTCGTACCGTCCATTTGCCGCGCAGGTCTTCTCAGTCGTACTCTCGATGCTGTCAAATCTACGCGTTTTGACGACTTTCTAAAATTCCATTTGTCCATACCTGTAGTAGAGTGTGAGTGTACCTTGCTCTCAACTATCGTAACGTAAACACCGCGCTTTTGAAATTGATTTCCTCTTATCACTACTATTGTATTTTTGTAATGTAAATCATTGTACATTCTACATATTTTTTCTTCATCTACATGAGCTACGTCATTTGAATTTTTGTGAAGCTTCTGTTTGTGTCAAAACAGAATGCTTCCAAGGATGCAAGAAGTATCAGTGTATGAATGTGAATCTTAGCCAGCAAGATCATAGTACCCTTGCCATGTAATGAATGCTGATAGATCTCACTCACTCACTGTCATTGACATCTCCTTCCTTTCTCTTCTGTTACACTACTATTACATACTTTACATTTTGCAATGTTATCCAAATATCATGATTTGGCCCTGGTTACAGGGCCGGATTTACCTATAGGGCACTGGGGCACTTGCCCATAGCGGCAAATTTTGAGGGGCGGCAAATTTTGGCACTGGATTAATTGAAAGTTAAAGCGAGAAAAAAGGAAAAAATGGAGACAGAGACGGAGCGAAGTGAAAAAATGAGCGGCAAAATGTATGAAGGAAGGGAGTTGACGCTTGACGGGAGTAGGGCTGTTCAATCGGTTGTCGGTAAGCCACCGAAACAGTTCCGTCAAGAAAAAGTTACGATAAGAGCGCTCTTGCCGATAGCGATCAGAGTTTTCGGAGCTGGCGAAAATAAGCTGTTGCCAATTGTACACCTATTTTACGCGCCGCCGCGCCAGGCAATCTGATAAACCGACACACGGGGCAACAATGTATTAAGTGCGAGCTCTCAAAACACCGATAAAGCCGGCTGTTGTCGATATCATGGCCACTGTCGGTACTGCCGCCAGTTTCAATAAGAGACGATGTCGGTAGTGTTCCGGCAAGAATTCGTTTGAACACCCCTAGACGGGAGCGGCAAAGCTGCCGCCCCTTAGGTCCGGCCTTGAGCGCTAGGATGATCGTTCGTTGGAGTGATACTAAACAACACGGCAATTTTAAACATCGAGGCAGACTTGATAATCAATTTAGACGTTGATGCTCTGGTTGACAGCTTTGCTAAACTGAAAACCCGGAGAAAAACTTTTTAACCT